AGGCAGGAGGATGGCTTGAGTACAATAATTCAAGACCAGCCTGGGGAACATAGCGAGGCACTGTCTCCACCAAAAAACCCCACAACAACAAAACCCAAAATAAACAAAAATCACACAACATTAAAAAGTCCAACATACTCATAAAAAGAAAGAAGTCAAAATACAAACCTGCTTCCAATACCAAAGGAAAACCACAGCCCTCAATTCCTCTTTTAGGATTGTTTTCATGGTTTCAGGGTTGACCTTAAACTAGTTTTGCTGTTTTTCCAACTCATGCCTCTCTTTACATTCTGTCCAGATAGGAGATTGTGGTTTTGTTGGGTCTGAAGGGCCTTACTGGGTCAGGAAATGAAAGGATTACAATGATTTAATACCTTTTACCTAGTCAAAGTTCCAACATATGGTCATGATTTGAAATTTCAATTGGAATAATGTTTTGGAAGATTTTTGTAAATCGTAAGTGTTGTACAAACATTACTTTGTTGATGTTGTCATAAGCAGGATTGGTTACTTTGTATCAAAAGAGATTTAGCCTCTTAATGAAAAAAATCTCTGGTATAACATTAAAGATTACATTAAAACTCACGTTTAACATTAAAGATAATTTTCTAGACTTTGGCAGTAAAGGTTATGGTCTACTGCAGCATGGGGGAAAGGGAAAAAGACTGAAAGTAACTGCATGCCCTTATTTAATCATAATTTGGTTCCTTTCAGTTTCTTTGCAGCTAACTCCACCAGCAGATAATTAAATAATGCTGATTATGGCTACAGAAATATACTTTAGTATGTATAAATTTAAGTCAAAAATGTAGTATAAGGATGACAGGCCAGGAGCGATGGCTCATGCCTGTAATTCCAGCACTTTGGGAGGCTGAGGCGGATGGATCACTTGAAGTCAGGAGTTTGACAACAGCCTGGCCAGCATGGTGAAACCCTGTTTAGGTGAAACTACTAAAAAATACAAAAAATTAACTGGGCATGGTGGCGGGCACCTGTAATCCCAGCTACTCGGGAGGCTGAGGCAGGAGAATTGCTTGAACCCAGGAGGCGGAGGTTGCAGTGAGCTGATATCACGCCACTGCACTCCAGCCTGGGCAACAAGAGCAAAACTCCGTCTCAAAAAAAAAAAAAAAAAAATTAGCCGGGGCTGGTGGTGCATGCTTGTAGTCCCAGCTACTTGGGAGGTTGAGGTGGGAGAATTGCTTGAACCGGGGAGGCAGAGGTTGCAGTGAGCCAAGATTGCACCACTGCACTCCAGCCTGGCCTACAGAGGGATACTCTGTCTCAAAAAAAAAAAAAAAAAAAAAGGATGACTTACAAAAAAGGAAAGAATCACTCTAAGGAAAAAGCAGAGTATGAAAAGGAACCCTGAAATAGTCAGGCTTTCTACAGGGAAAATGTCTATCTAGCCATTAAAATAAAATTGATTAAAATATTAAATTACAGACAGAGATAAATGCTAAAATGACCAATGCCTTTTTTTTTTTTTTTTTTTCCCTCCGAGACATGGTCTTGCTGTGTCACCCAGGCTGGAGTACAGTGGCACGATGTTAGCTCACTGCAAACTTCGCCTCCTGGGTTCAAGTGATTCTCCTGTCTCAGCCTCCGGAGTAGCTGGGATTACAGGTGCCCGCCACCACGCTAATTTTTGTATTTTTAGTAGAGACGGAGTTTCACCATGTTGGCCAGGCTGGTCTTTAACTCCTGGCCTGAAATGATCCACCCGCCTTGGCTTCCCAAAGTCCTGGGATTACAGGCCTAAATGCCTTTTACTATATGCTGTTAGACTAAAGACAAGTTACGTCTGTAGCTTTGCTTCTTCCATATTCTTTTTTTTTTTTTTTTTTTGAGATGGAGTCTTGCTCTGTCACCCAGGCTGTAGTGCAGTGGCGTGATCTTGGCTCATTGCAACCTCTGCCTCTCGGGTTCAAGTGATTCTCCTGCCTCAACCTTCTGAGTACCTGGGATTACAGGGGCCCACCACCATGCCCAGCTAATTTTTGTATTTTTAGTAGAGATGGGGTTTCACCATGTTGGCCAGATTGGTCTTTAATGTGATCCATGGCGCCCAGCCATATTAATTTACTTTTATTAAATATCTCACTAAAATAATTTCCTGAAACAATTTTATTGGGTTAAAAATATCTGCTGGGCATGATGGCTAACACCTGTAATCCCAGCACTTTGCCAGGCCGAGGTGGGCGGATCACATGAGGTCAGAAGTGACTTGGGAGGCTGGTGAAACCCTGTCAACTTGGTGAAACCCTGTCTCTACTGAAAATGCAAAACAGCCGGGTGTGGTGGTGCACGCCTGTAGTCCCAGCTACTCGGGAGGCTGAGGCACGAGAATCACTTGAACCTGGAGGAAGAGGCTGCAGTGAGTCAAGAATGGGCCACTGCACTGCTGGCCTGGGCAACAGAATGAGATCCTGTCTCAAAAAAAAAAAAAGTGTGAATCACAAATTGCAATGAAATTATTTAAAGATATGATTAACATTTGTTTTGGAGAATATTTGGGTGGTCTGAGGTTATCTATGTTCAGGAATTTTAAGTTCTAGGATAAATTATATGTATATTTTTGAAAATAGAGGGTACATTTTCAAATCTTAAATATGTTTTGGTTTAAAAAGATAACATTTTAGATTGGTCTGGGGTTTTTTCAAATTGTTATTTCAATTTGGTTCAAGTCACTTTTAGGCGTGACTCCAAAGTTGCAGTGAAAATATTATTCCTGCAGAAAGAAGGGGAGTATTTATCATCAATAACTTATATTGCTACAAGGTTACAAAACTGATGTATTATCTTTACACAAATGCTGAGTAAAACATAATAGGAGTAATAATAAAAAAAACAGTTCAACATTGTTAAAACCCAGGAAGACTTAAAACATATTCAACAAACAAAAGGAACTTCAGGATCCTACTCACTTCAGCTGAGACAAGTCTGTCACTAATTTTCTGCAGCAAGGCAAATTGTTCACTCTGGGTATATCAGCGTTGGGAGATCACAATACTATGTTGATTTCACAGTCCAACCTTCCCTTCATTTCTTGGTTTTATTTTTTCACCTATAATATAGTTTTGAAACTTTGTGCAGAAAAAAAGTGAGGGGGGAAATGCATAGAAATGAATTTCAGAAATTTCCTTTCAAAGTGAGTAGCTAGGAAATTTGAAGGGAAGACAGAATACATATGAAGACAATCTATTATGAAGGAAAGCATTACTGATTATGATAGATACTAGTTTTGAAGACATGAAATAAAAGACAATGAGCAACCAGATTTTTCCTCCAACAATGGAAGGAATATTATGATGCATTTAGTTAACAGACTATGAAGTATTAAAATGAGTCTTTAAAATATAGGGTAATATTTGGTATTTGCATATTACACACTTTCTCCTTTGAAAACCATTTTCGCAATTAGTCCTTTCAATCTCTACAACCAGGTGGGCTATCCTTTTAACCCAGGGAGGGTCAATGGATTCTGGGACAGACCCCAACCACAGCTGCTGCTGGACCGTGGGTGGGGTCATTCCAAGATCTGGGCAGAAGCCCAGTTCCCAGCTCAGCAGACACCAGCCTCTAGGGTCCCACAGCCAGGGGAGGGAGAGCCTCCCGAGAGCGACTGCTACCGCCACCGTCCTTCCCTGAAATGCAGGTTCCTGTTCACAGCCTGTGGAAAGAGTGCCAGCCACAGTCAGGAAATGTTAAGGTCCTGGGCGAAGGAGGGTTTGTGGCGTCAAAATGATACGGGTTTGATTCCTCAGACATTCTCTTACTGTGAGGGACCTTGGGCAGTCTCTCTGAGCCTCAATTTTCTCATTTGTAGAGCGGACATATTTTGCTTTATTTCATAGGGTTTACTGATGATTAAATGACACAAAGCAATCAAGGTCTCAGCTTACAGGGAACCATCTGTAGGGGATTGGGGAAATTTTCATCTGCAAAATGAGCACAGCGTAGATTCCAATCTGTAACCCAGTGGAGAGCGATCTCATCTCACTGTAACCTCCGCCTCCCGGGTTCAAGCGATTCTCCTGCCTCAGCCTCCTGAGTAGCTGGGATTACAGGCGCGTGCCACCACACCTGGCTAGTTTTTGTAATTTTTTTTTTTTTTTTTTTTTTTGAGAGGGAGTCTCGTTCTGTCGCCCAGGCTAGAGTGCAGTGGCGCGATCTCCGCTCACTGCAAGCTCCGTCGCCTCCTGGATTCACGCCATTCTCCTGGCTCAGCCTCCTGAGAAGCTGGGACTACAGGCACCCGCCACCAAGCCCGGCTAATTTTCTTTTTTGTATTTTTAGTAGAGACGGGGTTTCACCATGTTTGCCAGGATGGTCTCGATCTCCTGACCTCGTAATCCTCCCGCTTCGGCCTCCCAAAGTGCTGGGATTACAGGCGTGAGCCACCGCGCCCGGTGTGATAGTAAACATTACTTTGTAAACATAACTGCAATCCACACCTCCCCCCCGCTTTTTTTTTTGAGACGGAGGCGCGAGCCACCACGTCCAGCTAATTTTTGTATTTTTATTAGAGACTGGGTTTCACCATGTTGGTCAGGCTGATCTCGAACTCCTGAGCTCATGATCCGCCCGCCTCGGCCTCTCAAAGTGCTGGGATTACAGGTGTGAGCCACTGCTCCCGGCCTCCCACCCCTTATTCTAAATGACATTTGTCATCCAAAATATGGGGGCTGGAGGAGAAGATCCAGAACCCAAGGAAACATGATCAACCAGGGCAATTAATCGAGAGGGCAGGACAGGCTAAGCCTCAGTTCTTCTCTGAATATCTGGGACCCCAGTCGCAGGCAAGTGAACCCGCGGCCGCTGCTCGGGCGGGAACCCTTCACTGGGATCCCACAAGCCGACGCCCGGGATCCGGCGTGGGGCGCTGGGAACTGAGCGGTGGAGGAAGGCGAAGGGGTTAGGGGCGGGGTCCTAGGGGAGGAGTTAGGGGGCGGGGCTTTGACGTTGGGGCGGGGCTAAGGGCGAGACCTCGCCGAGTTCCACCGTTGCGCTCGCCACGTCTTCCTTAGCGAGCTTGTGGGGGACAGGCAGGGGGAGGGAAAACTGAGCGGGGCGGGAACTATCTCCTCTCGCGAGAGCTGGCGACGGCGGCGGCGGCGGCGGCGGCGGCGTGTCCGTGAGAGTGGCGTGGGGGCAGGGAGGAGAGGCAGCGGCGGCAGCGTCCAAGCTACGCAACTTGGGCAGGGGCGTTGGGAGCGGGAGTGCAGAGCGTGGTCGTGGCGGCGGCGGTGAGAAGAGCGAGGCGGAGGAGGGGGTGCCATGGCCGGGCAGCAGTTCCAGTACGATGACAGTGGGAACACCTTCTTCTACTTCCTCACCTCCTTCGTGGGGCTCATCGTGATCCCGGCGACATACTACCTCTGGCCCCGAGACCAGAATGCCGGTGAGTCCCGCCGGCCTTTGCCCGCGGACCCGCGCAGGCCCCACCAGCGCCCCCAGGCCCTGTGGCGCCCGGCCCCAGCCCTCGGCGTCCGGGGTGACAAGGACCGTGCGGCCCGGCCTGTGTCCAGCGTCTGCCACTGGCGGGGCCCGGGTCGGCGGCGTTTCCCTCGGCGCTTCTCCACCTCCCTTCATTGTCCTCAGGAGTTTCGCTCGCTCCATCTTCTCCATTGTTGTGGACGCTCCTTGCAGTCTCCTCCTGCTTCTTTGTCTTCTCTGCCTCTGCTTTTATTGGGGATTTATTCTTTATGGAGGAAGCGAGATGGGATGGGGAGGATGGGGACTTGGGAGGTGAGCAAAGAGTTGGCCAGGGAAGAGACTGAAGGTGCGGGCACAACTCTCAGTCCCTCCAGTTCGCGGCCCTCCTCCCCCGACTCCTGTTTCCCTGTTGCAGCTGCTCTTAACAGATGTTTTGAGGCATCTCTGAGCCGGGTGGCACGCTTAGGACTCCAACTGAGCTCTCCACCGCCTACCCCCGTCACTTCCTCCCGTTGCTTTTTCATTTGTTCACTCACTGTGGGGGTTGGAAGCAATGCTGTTTTTCCTCTTAGCAAAAATAGGATTTTTTTCTATTTCCTTTTCTTTGGAGTTTCCTATTTGTGACGGAAAAAGTGCAAGTATGAAGGGTTAAGTCTCGTTTAATTAATCTTATAGGGAATTTTGAGGTAGTGGGTCGATTTGCTTTTGGTTCTAAGTCTTTTCACATTAAACAACATCGAATTAAAGCACAGAATAACAGATTCTTTTCATATTTCACTTTATGTTTGGGTAATGTTTGCATCCATTTGTTGCACTCTACTAGGACATATGGCAGATGATATTCTTAAAGCTGATGTAACTGCGAGGGCCTAATGGGTTATTTATGGTAGTGTTAACAGTAAGGAGTAGGTTTTGAGTATTAACAACTTAGAGAAGGCTTTTTGTTTCACAAGAGCTGTGCTAACTTGCTTAAATATCTTCTCTTCAACTGGGTGTGCTGGAGGTCTGTGTTGTCCAGGTTATATATTCTACTTCGGGGAAGTTGTTAACAGTGAAGCATTGAATCAGCTCAGAACTTGTCACGCTGAATGGATTCAATGCCCTGTAACATTCTTCCCCCCCCTCCCCCCCCGCGCCCCTTGTGATCTGCAGGAAACTAACACTCTTAACTTGGAATAGAACTAAAATAAATTTAGGATAAATAGTAAAGGATTCCATCATTTTGCACCTTTGACAGTAAGTTAAAAAATCCATTAGATGCAAAACTCTGTGCACAGTTACCAGTCTTGATACTTTTCTTACTCAATAGGTAGTTTATGAAATTTGGATTTTGGACTGTTGTGCCTTATTTCCTAAGTGCGTTTAAATTGTATAGGTTCTTCCTCGATGTTGAAAAAGGAAAAAAAATATTGGGTAGATTCTTTGGACAGTGGTTGTGTATAAGTGAAGTCTTAATACTGTATTGACTTTTCTTGTCTGCAAAACCTAGGTCATTCTTGTGGTTGTTGTATTTCAAATTAAAAGGGTTCACTTTTCAGTAGTTTTATTTTCACCTAACAACCATTATGTGTGCAATTGGTAGTGTAGAAGACAAAAAGATATTGGGAGAGTAGTCGGTGGTTTTGGCTAGAATGTATTTTGATCAGGCAGAGCAAAGGTATAAAAAATGTTTTGAGAAACGGCCCTGATTTCAGAAATTAGCCATCATTTTTTAATCTACATTGGATTTTTGAAGTTTTTCTGTTTAAAGTGGAGAGAGTCTCATTTGCCCAGGCTGGTCTTGAACTTGCCTCAAGCCACCCAACTAGCTGGGCTTACAGACTTGAGCCACCACGTCAGGACGGATTTTTGAAATTTGAAAGTCATATTTTCATGGTGAGTTTTGTATTATAAAATTCACCTGATTTCATAAACGAATCATACTATTTATTTATGTATTTATGTATGTATTTATTTTTTTGAGACAGAGACTCACTCTGTTGCCCAGGGTGGAGTGCAATGGCTCCATCTTGACTCTTTGCAGCCTCCACCTGCTGGGTTCAAGCAGTTCTGCCCCAGCCTCCCGAGTAGCTGGGATTATAGGCATGCGCCACTGTGCCTGGCTTGTTTTCGTCTTTTTAGTAGAGATGGGATTTCACCATGTTGACCAGGCTGGTCTCCAGCTCCTGACACCAACTGATCTTCCCTCCTCGGCCTCCCAAAGTGCTGGGACTACTGGTGTGAGCCACCACGCCCTGCCAACAAGTCATACTTGACCCCCTTCAGTATGTAAGTGTCTTTGAAAAAGTGGTGGTAGTTTAGGTGGAGGGGATTAATGCTATTTGTAAATCATGAGTTAAACTTTTACTTTATTTAATCTTCTTAAAAATGCAGTGAGGTTGGCTGGGCACAGTGGCTCACACCTGTAATCCCAACACTTTGGGAAGCTGAGGTGGGCGGATCACCTAAGGTCAGGAGTTCAAGACCAGCCTGGCCAGCGTGGGAAAACCCCATCTCTACAAAAATACAAAAAGTTAGCTGGGCGTGGTGGTGGACGCCTGTAATCCCAGCTACCCGGGAGGCTGAGGCAGGAAGAATTGTGTGAACCCGGGAAGTGGAGGTTGCAATGAGCCGAGATCGTGCCACTACACTCCAGCCTGGGCAACAAAGTGAGACTCTGTCTCCAAAAACAAACAAACAAACAAAAAATATGCAGTGAGGTAGGTTCTATTATTATCTCCATTTACAGGTAAAGAAACTGGGGGTAGAGTATGTAAGTAATTTTCCTGTATGGTTAAGCTTGGATTAGAACATTGATCACTTAGCTTCAGAGCCCTGTGTGGTTTCCACACTGCTAGATAGAAAGTTAGGTGAACTATTATGGGTGTCAGTTTGCCCCTGTTTTACATCGGGCCCTCTGCTTCAGGCTTGCCTTAGTCAGTATGCATATTTTGATGTATTTGTTTGGTCTTGCTCAAAATCGTGTTACGAAAATTAAGGTGAACACTTAAGTACTTTTCTAATCATTATGAAAATTATTGGGCACCGCTTGGACTCTAATAACTTCAGTTGTTTCTGTAGAATTACAGTTGTATTAAAAGGATATTTTCATCATAGTGACTTTTTTCTGCAGCCCAGTTGCAGTATCTTGAATATCAAAGAGAAATCTTGAATTACTGCTTCATTCAAAGCTCTGAAAAAGGAAGTTTTTTCAGAAGTTTTTGCAAAATAATTTGCTGACTTGTACTGACAGGAGGCTACTTAATAATCCTTATCTCACTTAGGAAATAGTTATGTTCTGCTCTTGGAATATTAATTTATTTGGTTATTGGTGCTATTTTAGACCTTACAGGGTCTGTTTGGGTATAAATGCTGTGTTATCTTTCTAAAATCTGAAAAATTCTGAAGCACATTTGTTCTTTAGGATTTTAAATAAAAGATGAGGACCCTGTAGTACTATTTTGGGGAAACACAACAGCATATATATATATGTGTGTGTGTGTGTGTCTATATATGTGTATATGTATATATGTATATATGTGTGTGTGTGTGTGTATATATATATATAAAAAAAACTATTTTTATTTTTTGAGATGGAACCTCGCTCTGTCACCCAGGCTAAAGTGCAGTGACGTGATCTTGGCTCACTGCAACCTCTGTTTCCCGCGTTGAAACGATTCTCGTGCTTCAGCCTCCTGAGTAGCTAGGAAAACCGGTGTGAGCCACCATGCCTGGCTTATTTTTGTATTTTTAGTGGAGATGGGGTTTCCCCATGTTGGCCAGACTGGTCTTGAACTCCTGACCTCAATTGATCCACCTGCCTCAGCCTCCCGAAGTGCTGGGATTACAGGCCTGAGCCACTGTGCCCCGGCCGCAACAGCATATTTTAATACTTGTTTTTGAGGCTTAATTTATTTAGTCGTCCTGTGAAACAGTTAAGTAGCCAAATACAAAAATGTAGGCATGTGTTTGAATTTCAGAGTTCTGACAGTATTTTCAGAGATAGCGTGTGCATGAAGGCATGAAAAGGTTTGCTCTGGCAGTTATACAACCTTAAAGTTCAGTTTAAGTAATTTTTTTGTTTGTTTTGGCATGAAGTCTCACTCTGTCGCCCAGGCTCACATGCAGTGGCATGATCTTGGCTCACTGCAACCTCCACCTCCCGGGTTCAAGCAGTTCTCCCCCCTTGGCCTCCCAAGTAGCTGGGATTACAGGTGCCTGCTACTATGCCCAGCTAATTTTTGTATTTTTAGTAGAGACAAGGTTTCACCATGTTGGTCAGGCTGGTTTCCGACCCCTGACCTCAAGTGATCTGCCCACCTCAGTCTCCCAAAGTGCTGGGATTACAGGTGTGAGCCACTGCGCCCGGCCCAGTTTAATCTTTATTTCGGTTTTTTTGTTTGTGTTTTTTGCAACACATTTGGGACTTTCAGTTTTTAAGGTTGACAGTTGTTTCAGCACGGCTCTTTTGGAATTAGTGGGCTCTTGAATGCACCAGAAAGCATAGCACCGTTTCACAGCTTGTAAAGTCTGTGGTTTGAAAAATCCGCAGTTTGTTTATTGGCATATTTGACATGTTAATTGAACGTATCTGTTATCTAAAACATTAATGGACTCCTTTTGCCTTGATTTTTGCCTAACGTGTTTAGCTAAGTGTACTTCTGATTAACACCCCTTTTAGTAGTTAAAGGGTCCTATTTGTTTTACTCTCTCTCTTTTTTTTTTTTTTTTTGAAACGGAGTCTCGCTCTGCCGCCCAGGCTGGAGTGCAGTGGCCGGATCTCAGCTCACTGCAAGCTCCGCCTCCCGGGTTTACGCCATTCTCCTGCCTCAGCCTCCCGAGTAGCTGGGACCACAGGCGCCCGCCACCTCGCCCGGCTAGTTTTTTGTATTTATTTTTTTTAGTAGAGACGGAGCTTCACCGTGTTAGCCAGGATGGTCTCGATCTCCTGACCTCGTGATCCGCCCGTCTCGGCCTCCCAAAGTG